TTTGTTGAGGTGTTGTTGGGCATGATAATTGCTCCTCAGCTCCAAGGTCGGTAAAAAAAGAGCGAAGGAGTTAGACATGTACTCTCATCCACGATCAGAAAGAAAGATCTTGACCTTGAGACCCAACTGGCGCTCATCATAAGGAAATCAAGGCCGAATAATACCGGGAGCTTTATCTTTTGATCCAAGAACAGAGATCCAAGCCAATTTTGTATGATGGTCAATGAGAGACGTTACATACATTTTCCCAGTACGACTCAATGTACGGAAGGGATCCATCATATCATATGAATGAGCTCAAGTGGTTGGGAGACTTCGGACTCAGAAGAATAAAAAGGATGACGAGGAAGCTTAGCCTCAACACAAGTATGGCAAGGTGACTGAGGAGATGATATTTGTTTGAAGTTGATAAGACTATCAACACTTGCATGTGCTTGCATGCGTATGATACTAGACTCTTCAGGATGACTGGAACGACAATGCCAAGTATAAGGAGATGCAAAATGTACCAGGGTGAAGTCTTATCGAAGTGGTAGTAGCAACAATTGAGGGACTGCTATAGGGCTTGGCAGGTGGTTGTGCATCGATCTCCACTCGATAGAGGCGTCTATTACAAACACCTCTTATAATAGGATGCCCAGTTGGAGCATGAACCTGCACATAACCATCTAAGAAAAAAATAGAGATACATTTCTCTTAAAGCCAGCAGGCAAAATAGTGACCCCCCCCTTCTAGTTGGGTCCAACTTGAATCAGATGGTAAGCACAAGTTAGAAATATATCGAGCTTGCACAGTAACCTAGCAGGGCTGGTGTACCCAAACGTTTGTGCAAGAACTTCGACCAATCAAGAGCATCGCCCCAATGTGCAGAGACACAAACGGGCCCATATGGTTTTCGCACAGTAGGGCGATTGTGTTCCGCCGCTCCCAATCAAAAAAGTGACCACCCACCCAACGTTTCCTAGAGCAACACAACACACACTGGACACGCCCTACCAAAATACTACGCATACTCGTCACGCCAAGCACACGACTCACTCTCCTATCGCCAACACCCAGCCGCCTCCCTTCCAAACATTGACGTCCACAGCTAATAACGTAAATTAGTCCAGCAATAGAGTGTCGTCAACTGCATTCGAACGAGTTTAGGGTCTGACGAGGACGGCCTGCCGCGGGATCGCCAATACCTCCGCTATTCCTCGACTCTTCAGCTATTGTACGCATTCCATGAAATGCTGACAGGCATAGGGTTAGGCGAGCGAAATGCTGCCAGTCTCTGTCTGACGGGCAGCATTCGCGCGCATGGCGGAATGCGCCTGTCTGACGGGCAGCAAATGACGAAATGCCCAGCGGGCGTCGGAAATGTTGCCCGTCTCTGTCTCACGGTCAGCATTCCGCGCGCATGGCGGAATGCGCCTGTCTGACGGGCAGCCTCCGCGAAATGCGGAGCGGGTGCGCGGAATGCTGCCCATCAGACAGTGACGTTCTGCATGCGCGCAGAGGGCGGAGTGCGGCTGTCTGACGTGCAGCATTCCGCGCGAAATGCTCAGCGGGCGTGCTAAGTGCTGCCCGTCAGACAGGCGCATGGCTTTCGCACGCAATGCACAACCGCGTCAGACTGACAGGCAGCAATCGCGCGAAATGCTGTTGGGCGTCAGTATTAAGGGCTGCAGGCGCCAGAAAAGGCAACAAGGGTCAGTCTGACGTTTATCAGGCGCGTGAATAGCTGCGCCTCGCTCAGCTATGCGGTTTCCCCAACATTGCCGTCACCATCCCCGAGTCCCACAACCGCATGCTCCCCTTTCACCGTTCCCTGTTCCCCCATACCCCGTTCCCCCATTCCCTGCCCCCTCATTCCCTGTTCCCCCATTCCCTGTCCCCCATTACCCGCACCCCCATTCCCTGTCCCCTCATTCCCTGCTCCCTTTCAGCCTTTCTCCCCCATTCCTGCTCCCCCATTCCCCGCTCCCCCATTCCCTGTTCCCAAATTGCCTGCCCCCCCATCCCTTGTTCCCCCATTCCCTGCTCCCCCATTCCCTCCACCCCCATTACCACCTCCCCCATTCCGTGTTCCACGGTTCCCTGTCCCCCATTCCCTGTCCCCCCATACTCTGCCCCCCCATTCCCCGTTCCCCCATTCCTTGCCCCCCCAATCACTGCCCCCCCATTCCCTGCTCCCCCATTCCCTGCTCCCCCATTCCCTGTTCCCCGTTACCCTGCTACCCCATTCCCTGTTTCCCTTTTGAGCAGCCCCCCCAATCCCTGTCCCCCAAATGCCTGCCCCCCCATTCCATGTTCCCCCATTCCCTGCTCCCCCATTTCCCTGTTCCCGCATTCCCCCCTCCCCCATTCCCTGTCCCCCCATTCCCTGCTCCCCCATTCGCTGTCCCCCCATTCCCTGTCCCCTCATTCCTTGCTCCCCCATCCCCTGTTCCCCCATCCCCTGAAGATGCGTCCATTCGTGCTTGGGGCGTCCAGCTGGCTGAACGAGTCATTTCATTCGGTTATTTGCAAATATGCACCGAAGAGGGTACATTTTCGGGGGAGTATGGAAGCACGGATTGCGCTCTCGATTCTTCATTGGAACAACACCGTTGAGCGACTCGTCTTGAGACATATTATCCGGATCCGCCGTGAAACTCGTGTGCGGCGTGGGAAGAAAGATCGCGTGCTCGGACCGATGAACTGGCAATGGACGCAGGACATTTTTGCCGAGTGGCGCCGCGCATCCTCGCTGCCACATTAACCCCATCTAATCGTTCATGGGTAAATTATTTTGCGTTTTTATTGTTGAGCATTCTGTACATGCTTGTTTGGGTAACTTGTTTACTAACAAGGCCACACGGCGTTCAAAGTGTCTAAAGTGACGTTCTATATGTATCCATTCCTTGTGTGCAGGATCGGGTGACCCACCAGTGCGCAGACCATTCATGCGGCCCCGAAAACAGCTTCGAAGCCACCCAAACAGTTAGTATTTCAAGAGGTACAGTCTACACAATCCAGCCTGGAACACGCATATGTCTCCCTGAAATTCCCTCAGATGCTCATTGGGTCCTAGCCTCCATTTCACTCACATTATACCCGCCGACCCACCAACACACTCCTCCAACCTCCCCACCAGCCTACCCACCAGCCTACACTCCAACCTACCCACCAGCCTAGCCTCCAGCCTACCTTCCACCCTACTCAACAGCCTACCCACCAACCTACCCTCCAGCCTACCCTCCAACCTACCCTCCAACCTACCCTCCAACCTACCCACCAGCCTACCCACCAGTCCACACTCCAACCTCCCCACCAGACAATCCACCAACCTACCCTCCAGCCTACCCTCCAACCCACCCTCCGACCTACCCTCCAACCTACCCACCAGCCGCGTTTACCAGCCTACCCTCCAACCTACCCACCAACCTACCCACCAACCTACCCTCCAACCTACCCTCCAACCTACCCTCCAGCCTAATCTCCAGCCTACCCTCCAGCCTACCCTCCAGCCTACCATCCAGCCCACCCCATCCTATCCTCCAGTCTACCATTTTGCCTTTCCACCAGCCTACCCACCAGCCTACCCACCAGCCTACCCACCAGCCTACCCACCAGCCTCCCCTCCAACCTACACTCCAACGTACCCTCCGACCCACCCTCCTGTGTTTCCTCCAGCCTACCCTCGTGTGTTTCCTCCAGCCTACCCTCAAGCCTACTCAGCCCCGCAGACACCCCCCCACAGTGACAACCCCTCCCCCACACCCTCCAGAGCCTGCCATCTGTCCTCCATGGCACCTCCCCACCCATCACATACCACCCGCACACGATAATCACTAGTATCCTCTCACCCTTTCCCCCCTTCGCGTCAGAGTATTCTACTCACACTACTCTACATGCACTGCCACCGTTTGCCACCCCAAACACATGAGCACTCACCCCCCCCTTAGTGATTCTTTCATTCCACCATGGGTGCCTCACACAAACACTTGCTTTCACACATATCTTTTTACTATCCTCTCGTGCAACGGTTGCCCCCAACCTGGGTAGTTGTTAGGCCCCGCTCGAGACCGTTTACCTACTAATACGCTCCCGAATTCTTAGGTGGTATATCGATATTGCTTCGCACAATCTTCATATCTCATGTGACCTCCTGTAATGGAGTAGTTTCAGCCAGCCATATTCATGCCTTCCGTTTTCTCCCCACTGTTGTTTGATGGGCTTCCCACAAAACAGGCACCACCATCTGGTATCTCTGACCGCCATGCACCCCGGCGTCAACCATCAATAGTGTTGCGTTCCTATCCAATACTCTTTGATTGGGATGCATTCTGCTAAACTTCACATACTCTCTAGTGGTCTGGTACACACACACACTTGTAGATCTTATACAAGTACAAATAGCAGCCACGCATGTACAGTGTCATTCGCTCAACTACCCCAACCATCAATCTCAAAGTCAATGACATCCGGCACCACCCACTGACTAATGAAGTGCTCAATGTCCCTTGGAGTGCAATGCTCGTAGCATCCATCACCACTTTCTGGATATAGTGAACTGATCACGACATATATCAGCCAGGGCAAGCGGACCTGTGCAAAAGGGTGGTCACCAAGCAAGCCTGAGTATGTGACATAGCAGCGGAAGCGATGATTTTTGGGCAGCAACGGTTGACCCATGCAACTGCTTGGGGTATTGCCCCCACAACACACTCATAAAATGTTCTCAACAGTCGCCCTCCCATGTGGTAACTCACTCTCAGACCTCAGCCCAAGCCACTCTGCACCCCATTGCTCAAGCACCGTAGCCTGCTTTGGATACTTATTCTCAAATTCATGCAGCCTCCAACACCACTCAGGGTGATGCACTTCAGGTGGTTGACCTGTGCGCCTGCGCACACGTTGGGCCATGCCTGGCAGAGGCTGGGAAAAAGAGGGGTGGCCGTCAGACGGGGGTGAGATGGAGACAAAATGGAGTGGGCCAGGACACCGAAGAGCCCATACTGGATTCGGCACTATTAGAGGTGGGGTACATCGGAGAGAATGGCGGTTGAAGTGGCTGTGGGAGAGAGTAAGGTGTCGACACTGGTGTAGGCCTGGGATTGAGGTGGGGAGCAAGGGGGACTGATGTGTGGAGCATGGGGGATTGAGGTGGGGAGCATGGGGGATTGAGGTGGGGAGCATGGGGGATTGAGATGGGGAGCATGGGGGATTGAGATGGGGAGCATGGGGGATTGAGATGGGGAGCATGGGGGATTGAGGTGGGGAGCATGGGGGATTGAGGTGGGGAGCATGGGGGATTGAGGTGGGGAGCATGGGGGATTGAGGTGGGGAGCATGGGGGATTGAGATGGAGAGCATGGGGGATTGAGGTGGGGAGCATGGGGGATTGAGATGGAGAGCATGGGGGATTGAGGTGGGGAGCATGGGGGATTGAGATGGAGAGCATGGGGGATTGAGGTGGGGAGCATGGGGGATTGAGGTGGGGAGCATGGGGGATTGAGATGGGGAGCATGGGGGATTGAGATGGGGAGCATGGGGGATTGAGGTGGGGAGCATGGGGGATTGAGGTGGGGAGCATGGGGGATTGAGGTGGGGAGCACGGGGGATTGAGGTGGGGAGCACGGGGGATTGAGGTGGGGAGCACGGGGGATTGAGATGGGGAGCACGGGGGATTGAGGTGGGGAGCACGGGGGATTGAGGTGGGGAGCACGGGGGATTGAGGTGGGGAGCACGGGGGATTGAGGTGGGGAGCACGGGGGATTGAGATGGGGAGCACGGGGGATTGAGGTGGGGAGCACGGGGGATTGAGGTGGGGAGCACGGGGGATTGAGGTGGGGAGCACGGGGGATTGAGATGGGGAGCACGGGGGATTGAGGTGGGGAGCACGGGGGATTGAGGTGGGGAGCACGGGGGATTGAGGTGGGGAGCACGGGGGATTGAGGTGGGGAGCACGGGGGATTGAGGTGGGGAGCATGGGGGATTGAGGTGGGGAGCATGGGGGATTGAGGTGGGGAGCATGGGGGATTGAGGTGGGGAGCATGGGGGATTGAGGTGGGGAGCATGGGGGATTGAGGTGGGGAGCATGGGGGATTGAGGTGGGGAGCATGGGGGATTGAGGTGGGGAGCATGGGGGATTGAGGTGGGGAGCATGGGGGATTGAGGTGGGGAGCATGGGGGATTGAGGTGGGGAGCATGGGGGATTGAGGTGGGGAGCATGGGGGATTGAGGTGGGGAGCATGGGGGATTGAGGTGGGGAGCATGGGGGATTGAGGTGGGGAGCATGGGGGATTGAGGTGGGGAGCATGGGGGATTGAGGTGGGGAGCATGGGGGATTGAGGTGGGGAGCATGGGGGATTGAGGTGGGGAGCATGGGGGATTGAGGTGGGGAGCATGGGGGATTGAGGTGGGGAGCATGGGGGATTGAGGTGGGGAGCATGGGGGATTGAGGTGGGGAGCATGGGGGATTGAGGTGGGGAGCATGGGGGATTGAGGTGGGGAGCATGGGGGATTGAGGTGGGGAGCATGGGGGATTGAGGTGGGGAGCATGGGGGATTGAGGTGGGGAGCATGGGGGATTGAGGTGGGGAGCATGGGGGATTGAGGTGGGGAGCATGGGGGATTGAGGTGGGGAGCATGGGGGATTGAGGTGGGGAGCATGGGGGATTGAGGTGGGGAGCATGGGGGATTGAGGTGGGGAGCATGGGGGATTGAGGTGGGGAGCATGGGGGATTGAGGTGGGGAGCATGGGGGATTGAGGTGGGGAGCATGGGGGATTGAGGTGGGGAGCATGGGGGATTGAGGTGGGGAGCATGGGGGATTGAGGTGGGGAGCATGGGGGATTGAGGTGGGGAGCATGGGGGATTGAGGTGGGGAGCATGGGGGATTGAGGTGGGGAGCATGGGGGATTGAGGTGGGGAGCATGGGGGATTGAGGTGGGGAGCATGGGGGATTGAGGTGGGGAGCATGGGGGATTGAGGTGGGGAGCATGGGGGATTGAGGTGGGGAGCATGGGGGATTGAGGTGGGGAGCATGGGGGATTGAGGTGGGGAGCATGGGGGATTGAGGTGGGGAGCATGGGGGATTGAGGTGGGGAGCATGGGGGATTGAGGTGGGGAGCATGGGGGATTGAGGTGGGGAGCATGGGGGATTGAGGTGGGGAGCATGGGGGATTGAGGTGGGGAGCATGGGGGATTGAGGTGGGGAGCATGGGGGATTGAGGTGGGGAGCATGGGGGATTGAGGTGGGGAGCATGGGGGATTGAGGTGGGGAGCATGGGGGATTGAGGTGGGGAGCATGGGGGATTGAGGTGGGGAGCATGGGGGATTGAGGTGGGGAGCATGGGGGATTGAGGTGGGGAGCATGGGGGATTGAGGTGGGGAGCATGGGGGATTGAGGTGGGGAGCATGGGGGATTGAGGTGGGGAGCATGGGGGATTGAGGTGGGGAGCATGGGGGATTGAGGTGGGGAGCATGGGGGATTGAGGTGGGGAGCATGGGGGATTGAGGTGGGGAGCATGGGGGATTGAGGTGGGGAGCATGGGGGATTGAGGTGGGGAGCATGGGGGATTGAGGTGGGGAGCATGGGGGATTGAGGTGGGGAGCATGGGGGATTGAGGTGGGGAGCATGGGGGATTGAGGTGGGGAGCATGGGGGATTGAGGTGGGGAGCATGGGGGATTGAGGTGGGGAGCATGGGGGATTGAGGTGGGGAGCATGGGGGATTGAGGTGGGGAGCATGGGGGATTGAGGTGGGGAGCATGGGGGATTGAGGTGGGGAGCATGGGGGATTGAGGTGGGGAGCATGGGGGATTGAGGTGGGGAGCATGGGGGATTGAGGTGGGGAGCATGGGGGATTGAGGTGGGGAGCATGGGGGATTGAGGTGGGGAGCATGGGGGATTGAGGTGGGGAGCATGGGGGATTGAGGTGGGGAGCATGGGGGATTGAGGTGGGGAGCATGGGGGATTGAGGTGGGGAGCATGGGGGATTGAGGTGGGGAGCATGGGGGATTGAGGTGGGGAGCATGGGGGATTGAGGTGGGGAGCATGGGGGATTGAGGTGGGGAGCATGGGGGATTGAGGTGGGGAGCATGGGGGATTGAGGTGGGGAGCATGGGGGATTGAGGTGGGGAGCATGGGGGATTGAGGTGGGGAGCATGGGGGATTGAGGTGGGGAGCATGGGGGATTGAGGTGGGGAGCATGGGGGATTGAGGTGGGGAGCATGGGGGATTGAGGTGGGGAGCATGGGGGATTGAGGTGGGGAGCATGGGGGATTGAGGTGGGGAGCATGGGGGATTGAGGTGGGGAGCATGGGGGATTGAGGTGGGGAGCATGGGGGATTGAGGTGGGGAGCATGGGGGATTGAGGTGGGGAGCATGGGGGATTGAGGTGGGGAGCATGGGGGATTGAGGTGGGGAGCATGGGGGATTGAGGTGGGGAGCATGGGGGATTGAGGTGGGGAGCATGGGGGATTGAGGTGGGGAGCATGGGGGATTGAGGTGGGGAGCATGGGGGATTGAGGTGGGGAGCATGGGGGATTGAGGTGGGGAGCATGGGGGATTGAGGTGGGGAGCATGGGGGATTGAGGTGGGGAGCATGGGGGATTGAGGTGGGGAGCATGGGGGATTGAGGTGGGGAGCATGGGGGATTGAGGTGGGGAGCATGGGGGATTGAGGTGGGGAGCATGGGGGATTGAGGTGGGGAGCATGGGGGATTGAGGTGGGGAGCATGGGGGATTGAGGTGGGGAGCATGGGGGATTGAGGTGGGGAGCATGGGGGATTGAGGTGGGGAGCATGGGGGATTGAGGTGGGGAGCATGGGGGATTGAGGTGGGGAGCATGGGGGATTGAGGTGGGGAGCATGGGGGATTGAGGTGGGGAGCATGGGGGATTGAGGTGGGGAGCATGGGGGATTGAGGTGGGGAGCATGGGGGATTGAGGTGGGGAGCATGGGGGATTGAGGTGGGGAGCATGGGGGATTGAGGTGGGGAGCATGGGGGATTGAGGTGGGGAGCATGGGGGATTGAGGTGGGGAGCATGGGGGATTGAGGTGGGGAGCATGGGGGATTGAGGTGGGGAGCATGGGGGATTGAGGTGGGGAGCATGGGGGATTGAGGTGGGGAGCATGGGGGATTGAGGTGGGGAGCATGGGGGATTGAGGTGGGGAGCATGGGGGATTGAGGTGGGGAGCATGGGGGATTGAGGTGGGGAGCATGGGGGATTGAGGTGGGGAGCATGGGGGATTGAGGTGGGGAGCATGGGGGATTGAGGTGGGGAGCATGGGGGATTGAGGTGGGGAGCATGGGGGATTGAGGTGGGGAGCATGGGGGATTGAGGTGGGGAGCATGGGGGATTGAGGTGGGGAGCATGGGGGATTGAGGTGGGGAGCATGGGGGATTGAGGTGGGGAGCATGGGGGATTGAGGTGGGGAGCATGGGGGATTGAGGTGGGGAGCATGGGGGATTGAGGTGGGGAGCATGGGGGATTGAGGTGGGGAGCATGGGGGATTGAGGTGGGGAGCATGGGGGATTGAGGTGGGGAGCATGGGGGATTGAGGTGGGGAGCATGGGGGATTGAGGTGGGGAGCATGGGGGATTGAGGTGGGGAGCATGGGGGATTGAGGTGGGGAGCATGGGGGATTGAGGTGGGGAGCATGGGGGATTGAGGTGGGGAGCATGGGGGATTGAGGTGGGGAGCATGGGGGATTGAGGTGGGGAGCATGGGGGATTGAGGTGGGGAGCATGGGGGATTGAGGTGGGGAGCATGGGGGATTGAGGTGGGGAGCATGGGGGATTGAGGTGGGGAGCATGGGGGATTGAGGTGGGGAGCATGGGGGATTGAGGTGGGGAGCATGGGGGATTGAGGTGGGGAGCATGGGGGATTGAGGTGGGGAGCATGGGGGATTGAGGTGGGGAGCATGGGGGATTGAGGTGGGGAGCATGGGGGATTGAGGTGGGGAGCATGGGGGATTGAGGTGGGGAGCATGGGGGATTGAGGTGGGGAGCATGGGGGATTGAGGTGGGGAGCATGGGGGATTGAGGTGGGGAGCATGGGGGATTGAGGTGGGGAGCATGGGGGATTGAGGTGGGGAGCATGGGGGATTGAGGTGGGGAGCATGGGGGATTGAGGTGGGGAGCATGGGGGATTGAGGTGGGGAGCATGGGGGATTGAGGTGGGGAGCATGGGGGATTGAGGTGGGGAGCATGGGGGATTGAGGTGGGGAGCATGGGGGATTGAGGTGGGGAGCATGGGGGATTGAGGTGGGGAGCATGGGGGATTGAGGTGGGGAGCATGGGGGATTGAGGTGGGGAGCATGGGGGATTGAGGTGGGGAGCATGGGGGATTGAGGTGGGGAGCATGGGGGATTGAGGTGGGGAGCATGGGGGATTGAGGTGGGGAGCATGGGGGATTGAGGTGGGGAGCATGGGGGATTGAGGTGGGGAGCATGGGGGATTGAGGTGGGGAGCATGGGGGATTGAGGTGGGGAGCATGGGGGATTGAGGTGGGGAGCATGGGGGATTGAGGTGGGGAGCATGGGGGATTGAGGTGGGGAGCATGGGGGATTGAGGTGGGGAGCATGGGGGATTGAGGTGGGGAGCATGGGGGATTGAGGTGGGGAGCATGGGGGATTGAGGTGGGGAGCATGGGGGATTGAGGTGGGGAGCATGGGGGATTGAGGTGGGGAGCATGGGGGATTGAGGTGGGGAGCATGGGGGATTGAGGTGGGGAGCATGGGGGATTGAGGTGGGGAGCATGGGGGATTGAGGTGGGGAGCATGGGGGATTGAGGTGGGGAGCATGGGGGATTGAGGTGGGGAGCATGGGGGATTGAGGTGGGGAGCATGGGGGATTGAGGTGGGGAGCATGGGGGATTGAGGTGGGGAGCATGGGGGATTGAGGTGGGGAGCATGGGGGATTGAGGTGGGGAGCATGGGGGATTGAGGTGGGGAGCATGGGGGATTGAGGTGGGGAGCATGGGGGATTGAGGTGGGGAGCATGGGGGATTGAGGTGGGGAGCATGGGGGATTGAGGTGGGGAGCATGGGGGATTGAGGTGGGGAGCATGGGGGATTGAGGTGGGGAGCATGGGGGATTGAGGTGGGGAGCATGGGGGATTGAGGTGGGGAGCATGGGGGATTGAGGTGGGGAGCATGGGGGATTGAGGTGGGGAGCATGGGGGATTGAGGTGGGGAGCATGGGGGATTGAGGTGGGGAGCATGGGGGATTGAGGTGGGGAGCATGGGGGATTGAGGTGGGGAGCATGGGGGATTGAGGTGGGGAGCATGGGGGATTGAGGTGGGGAGCATGGGGGATTGAGGTGGGGAGCATGGGGGATTGAGGTGGGGAGCATGGGGGATTGAGGTGGGGAGCATGGGGGATTGAGGTGGGGAGCATGGGGGATTGAGGTGGGGAGCATGGGGGATTGAGGTGGGGAGCATGGGGGATTGAGGTGGGGAGCATGGGGGATTGAGGTGGGGAGCATGGGGGATTGAGGTGGGGAGCATGGGGGATTGAGGTGGGGAGCATGGGGGATTGAGGTGGGGAGCATGGGGGATTGAGGTGGGGAGCATGGGGGATTGAGGTGGGGAGCATGGGGGATTGAGGTGGGGAGCATGGGGGATTGAGGTGGGGAGCATGGGGGATTGAGGTGGGGAGCATGGGGGATTGAGGTGGGGAGCATGGGGGATTGAGGTGGGGAGCATGGGGGATTGAGGTGGGGAGCATGGGGGATTGAGGTGGGGAGCATGGGGGATTGAGGTGGGGAGCATGGGGGATTGAGGTGGGGAGCATGGGGGATTGAGGTGGGGAGCATGGGGGATTGAGGTGGGGAGCATGGGGGATTGAGGTGGGGAGCATGGGGGATTGAGGTGGGGAGCATGGGGGATTGAGGTGGGGAGCATGGGGGATTGAGGTGGGGAGCATGGGGGATTGAGGTGGGGAGCATGGGGGATTGAGGTGGGGAGCATGGGGGATTGAGGTGGGGAGCATGGGGGATTGAGGTGGGGAGCATGGGGGATTGAGGTGGGGAGCATGGGGGATTGAGGTGGGGAGCATGGGGGATTGAGGTGGGGAGCATGGGGGATTGAGGTGGGGAGCATGGGGGATTGAGGTGGGGAGCATGGGGGATTGAGGTGGGGAGCATGGGGGATTGAGGTGGGGAGCATGGGGGATTGAGGTGGGGAGCATGGGGGATTGAGGTGGGGAGCATGGGGGATTGAGGTGGGGAGCATGGGGGATTGAGGTGGGGAGCATGGGGGATTGAGGTGGGGAGCATGGGGGATTGAGGTGGGGAGCATGGGGGATTGAGGTGGGGAGCATGGGGGATTGAGGTGGGGAGCATGGGGGATTGAGGTGGGGAGCATGGGGGATTGAGGTGGGGAGCATGGGGGATTGAGGTGGGGAGCATGGGGGATTGAGGTGGGGAGCATGGGGGATTGAGGTGGGGAGCATGGGGGATTGAGGTGGGGAGCATGGGGGATTGAGGTGGGGAGCATGGGGGATTGAGGTGGGGAGCATGGGGGATTGAGGTGGGGAGCATGGGGGATTGAGGTGGGGAGCATGGGGGATTGAGGTGGGGAGCATGGGGGATTGAGGTGGGGAGCATGGGGGATTGAGGTGGGGAGCATGGGGGATTGAGGTGGGGAGCATGGGGGATTGAGGTGGGGAGCATGGGGGATTGAGGTGGGGAGCATGGGGGATTGAGGTGGGGAGCATGGGGGATTGAGGTGGGGAGCATGGGGGATTGAGGTGGGGAGCATGGGGGATTGAGGTGGGGAGCATGGGGGATTGAGGTGGGGAGCATGGGGGATTGAGGTGGGGAGCATGGGGGATTGAGGTGGGGAGCATGGGGGATTGAGGTGGGGAGCATGGGGGATTGAGGTGGGGAGCATGGGGGATTGAGGTGGGGAGCATGGGGGATTGAGGTGGGGAGCATGGGGGATTGAGGTGGGGAGCATGGGGGATTGAGGTGGGGAGCATGGGGGATTGAGGTGGGGAGCATGGGGGATTGAGGTGGGGAGCATGGGGGATTGAGGTGGGGAGCATGGGGGATTGAGGTGGGGAGCATGGGGGATTGAGGTGGGGAGCATGGGGGATTGAGGTGGGGAGCATGGGGGATTGAGGTGGGGAGCATGGGGGATTGAGGTGGGGAGCATGGGGGATTGAGGTGGGGAGCATGGGGGATTGAGGTGGGGAGCATGGGGGATTGAGGTGGGGAGCATGGGGGATTGAGGTGGGGAGCATGGGGGATTGAGGTGGGGAGCATGGGGGATTGAGGTGGGGAGCATGGGGGATTGAGGTGGGGAGCATGGGGGATTGAGGTGGGGAGCATGGGGGATTGAGGTGGGGAGCATGGGGGATTGAGGTGGGGAGCATGGGGGATTGAGGTGGGGAGCATGGGGGATTGAGGTGGGGAGCATGGGGGATTGAGGTGGGGAGCATGGGGGATTGAGGTGGGGAGCATGGGGGATTGAGGTGGGGAGCATGGGGGATTGAGGTGGGGAGCATGGGGGATTGAGGTGGGGAGCATGGGGGATTGAGGTGGGGAGCATGGGGGATTGAGGTGGGGAGCATGGGGGATTGAGGTGGGGAGCATGGGGGATTGAGGTGGGGAGCATGGGGGATTGAGGTGGGGAGCATGGGGGATTGAGGTGGGGAGCATGGGGGATTGAGGTGGGGAGCATGGGGGATTGAGGTGGGGAGCATGGGGGATTGAGGTGGGGAGCATGGGGGATTGAGGTGGGGAGCATGGGGGATTGAGGTGGGGAGCATGGGGGATTGAGGTGGGGAGCATGGGGGATTGAGGTGGGGAGCATGGGGGATTGAGGTGGGGAGCATGGGGGATTGAGGTGGGGAGCATGGGGGATTGAGGTGGGGAGCATGGGGGATTGAGGTGGGGAGCATGGGGGATTGAGGTGGGGAGCATGGGGGATTGAGGTGGGGAGCATGGGGGATTGAGGTGGGGAGCATGGGGGATTGAGGTGGGGAGCATGGGGGATTGAGGTGGGGAGCATGGGGGATTGAGGTGGGGAGCATGGGGGATTGAGGTGGGGAGCATGGGGGATTGAGGTGGGGAGCATGGGGGATTGAGGTGGGGAGCATGGGGGATTGAGGTGGGGAGCATGGGGGATTGAGGTGGGGAGCATGGGGGATTGAGGTGGGGAGCATGGGGGATTGAGGTGGGGAGCATGGGGGATTGAGGTGGGGAGCATGGGGGATTGAGGTGGGGAGCATGGGGGATTGAGGTGGGGAGCATGGGGGATTGAGGTGGGGAGCATGGGGGATTGAGGTGGGGAGCATGGGGGATTGAGGTGGGGAGCATGGGGGATTGAGGTGGGGAGCATGGGGGATTGAGGTGGGGAGCATGGGGGATTGAGGTGGGGAGCATGGGGGATTGAGGTGGGGAGCATGGGGGATTGAGGTGGGGAGCATGGGGGATTGAGGTGGGGAGCATGGGGGATTGAGGTGGGGAGCATGGGGGATTGAGGTGGGGAGCATGGGGGATTGAGGTGGGGAGCATGGGGGATTGAGGTGGGGAGCATGGGGGATTGAGGTGGGGAGCATGGGGGATTGAGGTGGGGAGCATGGGGGATTGAGGTGGGGAGCATGGGGGATTGAGGTGGGGAGCATGGGGGATTGAGGTGGGGAGCATGGGGGATTGAGGTGGGGAGCATGGGGGATTGAGGTGGGGAGCATGGGGGATTGAGGTGGGGAGCATGGGGGATTGAGGTGGGGAGCATGGGGGATTGAGGTGGGGAGCATGGGGGATTGAGGTGGGGAGCATGGGGGATTGAGGTGGGGAGCATGGGGGATTGAGGTGGGGAGCATGGGGGATTGAGGTGGGGAGCATGGGGGATTGAGGTGGGGAGCATGGGGGATTGAGGTGGGGAGCATGGGGGATTGAGGTGGGGAGCATGGGGGATTGAGGTGGGGAGCATGGGGGATTGAGGTGGGGAGCATGGGGGATTGAGGTGGGGAGCATGGGGGATTGAGGTGGGGAGCATGGGGGATTGAGGTGGGGAGCATGGGGGATTGAGGTGGGGAGCATGGGGGATTGAGGTGGGGAGCATGGGGGATTGAGGTGGGGAGCATGGGGGATTGAGGTGGGGAGCATGGGGGATTGAGGTGGGGAGCATGGGGGATTGAGGTGGGGAGCATGGGGGATTGAGGTGGGGAGCATGGGGGATTGAGGTGGGGAGCATGGGGGATTGAGGTGGGGAGCATGGGGGATTGAGGTGGGGAGCATGGGGGATTGAGGTGGGGAGCATGGGGGATTGAGGTGGGGAGCATGGGGGATTGAGGTGGGGAGCATGGGGGATTGAGGTGGGGAGCATGGGGGATTGAGGTGGGGAGCATGGGGGATTGAGGTGGGGAGCATGGGGGATTGAGGTGGGGAGCATGGGGGATTGAGGTGGGGAGCATGGGGGATTGAGGTGGGGAGCATGGGGGATTGAGGTGGGGAGCATGGGGGATTGAGGTGGGGAGCATGGGGGATTGAGGTGGGGAGCATGGGGGATTGAGGTGGGGAGCATGGGGGATTGAGGTGGGGAGCATGGGGGATTGAGGTGGGGAGCATGGGGGATTGAGGTGGGGAGCATGGGGGATTGAGGTGGGGAGCATGGGGGATTGAGGTGGGGAGCATGGGGGATTGAGGTGGGGAGCATGGGGGATTGAGGTGGGGAGCATGGGGGATTGAGGTGGGGAGCATGGGGGATTGAGGTGGGGAGCATGGGGGATTGAGGTGGGGAGCATGGGGGATTGAGGTGGGGAGCATGGGGGATTGAGGTGGGGAGCATGGGGGATTGAGGTGGGGAGCATGGGGGATTGAGGTGGGAGCATGGGGGATTGAGGTGGGGAGCATGGGGGATTGAGGTGGGGAGCATGGGGGATTGAGGTGGGGAGCATGGGGGATTGAGGTGGGGAGCATGGGGGATTGAGGTGGGGAGCATGGGGATTGAGGTGGGGAGCATGGGGGATTGAGGTGGGGAGCATGGGGGATTGAGGTGGGGAGCATGGGGGATTGAGGTGGGGAGCATGGGGGATTGAGGTGGGGAGCATGGGGGATTGAGGTGGGGAGCATGGGGGATTGAGGTGGGGAGCATGGGGGATTGAGGTGGGGAGCATGGGGGATTGAGGTGGGGAGCATGGGGGATTGAGGTGGGGAGCATGGGGGATTGAGGTGGGGAGCATGGGGGATTGAGGTGGGGAGCATGGGGGATTGAGGTGGGGAGCATGGGGGATTGAGGTGGGGAGCATGGGGGATTGAGGTGGGGAGCATGGGGGATTGAGGTGGGGAGCATGGGGGATTGAGGTGGGGAGCATGGGGGATTGAGGTGGGGAGCATGGGGGATTGAGGTGGGGAGCATGGGGGATTGAGGTGGGGAGCATGGGGGATTGAGGTGGGGAGCATGGGGGATTGAGGTGGGGAGCATGGGGGATTGAGGTGGGGAGCATGGGGGATTGAGGTGGGGAGCATGGGGGATTGAGGTGGGGAGCATGGGGGATTGAGGTGGGGAGCATGGGGGATTGAGGTGGGGAGCATGGGGGATTGAGGTGGGGAGCATGGGGGATTGAGGTGGGGAGCATGGGGGATTGAGGTGGGGAGCATGGGGGATTGAGGTGGGGAGCATGGGGGATTGAGGTGGGGAGCATGGGGGATTGAGGTGGGGAGCATGGGGGATTGAGGTGGGGAGCATGGGGGATTGAGGTGGGGAGCATGGGGGATTGAGGTGGGGAGCATGGGGGATTGAGGTGGGGAGCATGGGGGATTGAGGTGGGGAGCATGGGGGATTGAGGTGGGAGCATGGGGGATTGAGGTGGGGAGCATGGGGGATTGAGGTGGGGAGCATGGGGATTGAGGTGGGGAGCATGGGGGATTGAGGTGGGGAGCATGGGGGATTGAGGTGGGGAGCATGGGGGATTGAGGTGGGGAGCATGGGGGATTGAGGTGGGGAGCATGGGGGATTGAGGTGGGGAGCATGGGGGGATTGAGGTGGGGAGCATGGGGGATTGAGGTGGGGAGCATGGGGGATTGAGGTGGGGAGCATGGGGGATTGAGGTGGGGAGCATGGGGGATTGAGGTGGGGAGCATGGGGGATTGAGGTGGGGAGCATGGGGGATTGAGGTGGGGAGCATGGGGGATTGAGGTGGGGAGCATGGGGGATTGAGGTGGGGAGCATGGGGGATTGAGGTGGGGAGCATGGGGGATTGAGGTGGGGAGCATGGGGGATTGAGGTGGGGAGCATGGGGGATTGAGGTGGGGAGCATGGGGGATTGAGGTGGGGAGCATGGGGGATTGAGGTGGGGAGCATGGGGGATTGAGGTGGGGAGCATGGGGGATTGAGGTGGGGAGCATGGGGGATTGAGGTGGGGAGCATGGGGGATTGAGGTGGGGAGCATGGGGGATTGAGGTGGGGAGCATGGGGGATTGAGGTGGGGAGCATGGGGGATTGAGGTGGGGAGCATGGGGGATTGAGGTGGGGAGCATGGGGGATTGAGGTGGGGAGCATGGGGGATTGAGGTGGGGAGCATGGGGGATTGAGGTGGGGAGCATGGGGGATTGAGGTGGGGAGCATGGGGGATTGAGGTGGGGAGCATGGGGGATTGAGGTGGGGAGCATGGGGGATTGAGGTGGGGAGCATGGGGGATTGAGGTGGGGAGCATGGGGGATTGAGGTGGGGAGCATGGGGGATTGAGGTGGGGAGCATGGGGGATTGAGGTGGGGAGCATGGGGGATTGAGGTGGGGAGCATGGGGGATTGAGGTGGGGAGCATGGGGGATTGAGGTGGGGAGCATGGGGGATTGAGGTGGGGAGCATGGGGGATTGAGGTGGGGAGCATGGGGGATTGAGGTGGGGAGCATGGGGGATTGAGGTGGGGAGCATGGGGGATTGAGGTGGGGAGCATGGGGATTGAGGTGGGGAGCATGGGGGATTGAGGTGGGGAGCATGGGGGATTGAGGTGGGGAGCATGGGGGATTGAGGTGGGGAGCATGGGGGATTGAGGTGGGGAGCATGGGGGATTGAGGTGGGGAGCATGGGGATTGAGGTGGGGAGCATGGGGGATTGAGGTGGGGAGCATGGGGGATTGAGGTGGGGAGCATGGGGGATTGAGGTGGGGAGCATGGGGGATTGAGGTGGGGAGCATGGGGGATTGAGGTGGGGAGCATGGGGGATTGAGGTGGGGAGCATGGGGGATTGAGGTGGGGAGCATGGGGGATTGAGGTGGGGAGCATGGGGGATTGAGGTGGGGAGCATGGGGGATTGAGGTGGGGAGCATGGGGGATTGAGGTGGGGAGCATGGGGGATTGAGGTGGGGAGCATGGGGGATTGAGGTGGGGAGCATGGGGGATTGAGGTGGGGAGCATGGGGGATTGAGGTGGGGAGCATGGGGGATTGAGGTGGGGAGCATGGGGGATTGAGGTGGGGAGCATGGGGGATTGAGGTGGGGAGCATGGGGGATTGAGGTGGGGAGCATGGGGGATTGAGGTGGGGAGCATGGGGGATTGAGGTGGGGAGCATGGGGGATTGAGGTGGGGAGCATGGGGGATTGAGGTGGGGAGCATGGGGGATTGAGGTGGGGAGCATGGGGGATTGAGGTGGGGAGCATGGGGGATTGAGGTGGGGAGCATGGGGGATTGAGGTGGGGAGCATGGGGGATTGAGGTGGGGAGCATGGGGGATTGAGGTGGGGAGCATGGGGGATTGAGGTGGGGAGCATGGGGGATTGAGGTGGGGAGCATGGGGGATTGAGGTGGGGAGCATGGGGGATTGAGGTGGGGAGCATGGGGGATTGAGGTGGGGAGCATGGGGGATTGAGGTGGGGAGCATGGGGGATTGAGGTGGGGAGCATGGGGGTTGAGGTTGAGGTGGGGAGCATGGGGGAGGTGGGGAGCATGGGGGATTGAGGTGGGGAGCAGTGAGTGCCCGACTAAGGCAGCAGAGAGCGCATCGCTATGACAGCAGTAGGGAATGCACTGAGCCCCCAGGTGTGTGTGAAGTAGGGTAATGCAGCAGATAGTGGAACAAGCAGGATGCCTGTCCTTGACAGGCACGTAGCTTAGAGAACCACAGCCGTCAGATGAGGAGCGAAGAGTGGTTTGAGTGTAGATCCTACAGGCCAATGGGGGTTAGGTGTGGGAGGTGGGAGTGATTTGGGAAGAATGGGCACGGAGCATGCCTACACACTGGATAAGAGGTGACATTCTACAACATACCTGTAATGGGGGAGAAGGGGATGGGGGAGCAGGGAATGAGGGGACAGGGAATGGGGGAGCAGGGAATAGGGGAGCAGGGAATGAGGGGACAGGGAATGGGGGATAGGCAGGGAAGGGGGAGCGCGAAATGGGGGAACATGGAATGGGGAGGTAGCAAGGGGGCGCAGGGATGGGTGAGCAGGGACTGAGGGAAGGGGGAATGAGGGAGCGGGGAATGAGGGAGCGGGGAATGGGGGAGCAGGGAATGGGGGGGTGAGGGACGGGGAATGGGGGGACGGGGAATCGGGGGTCAGGGTACGGGGGTGCGGAGAATATGGGGACAGGGAATGGGGAAGCGTTGAATGGGGGAACAAGTAATGAGGGAGGTGGGAATGGGGGACCAGGGAATGAGGGAACATGGAATGGGGGTGGTGGGAATGGCGGAGCAGGGGAAACAGGGGAAATATGAGAACCACAGCAAATGGCGGATAGGGGTAATAGGTTTTATAGGGTGTATGGAAGTGAGGAAAAAGGGACAGACCTGGATAGTGCCGTGGGGAGGATGGGGGGTAAAAGGGTATAGATGGGGGGAGTACGAGTGCCAGAGGTGTGTATCAGAGGGTAGTAAGTGTGAGAGAGGGGGATAGCCAGGCGGAGCAAGGGAGTGAAAGGGGTATACCATGGGGACTTGGGGACACAAACGGGGTGTAAGTGAGGTTAGCATTGAGAAGCGTGGGGCTTAGCCGAGGGGAGTAAGGGACCGAAGGGGTGTAGCAGAGTGGAATGAGGTAGATGGGGGGCTATTTTGGAGGGGGCTAAGGGAAGAAGGGGAAGACGGGGTGCTAAGCAGATATGGGAGTGGGGGAATAAGGATGGCGGGAAGTGAGGGAGAGGGGGACAAAAGAACACAGAAGAGTGGTGTAAGGGGAAAGGGAGTAGGGAAGAGAGGGAACGGGGGGAACGAGGGCGCAAGGCAGATTGCAGCTGAATTCCTCCTCTCTCGCCGCCGATCTGTGTCGCTTCTCATACACACGTCGACGCGAGCCGCTGATTGCTATCTTCCACCCTGCCGTGAGGGGAAGCAGGGGGAGGAGGGGAAGCAGGGGGGAGAAGGAGGGGAAGCAGGGGGAGAAGGAGGGGAAGCAGGGGGGGAGAAGGAGGGGAAGCAGGGGGGAGAAGGAGGGGAAGCAGGGGGGAGAAGGAGGGGAAGCAGGGGGGAGAAGGAGGGGAAGCAGGGGGAGAAGGAGGGAAGCAGGGGGGAGAAGGAGGGGAAGCAGGGGGGAGAAGGAGGGGAAGCAGGGGGGAGAAGGAGGGGAAGCAGGGGGAGAAGGAGGGGAAGCAGGGGGAGAAGGAGGGAAGCAGGGGGGAGAAGGAGGGGAAGCAGGGGGGAGAAGGAGGGGAAGCAGGGGGGAGAAGGAGGGGAAGCAGGGGGGGAGAAGAAGGGAAGCAGGGGGAGAAGGAGGGGAAGCAGGGGAGAAGGAGGGGAAGCAGGGGGGAGAAGGAGGGGAAGCAGGGGGGAGAAGGAGGGGAGCAGGGGGGAGAAGGAGGGGAAGCAGGGGGAGAAGGAGGGAAGCAGGGGGGAGAAGGAGGGAAGCAGGGGGGAGAAGGAGGGGAAGCAGGGGGGAGAAGGAGGGAAGCAGGGGGGAGAAGGAGGGGAAGCAGGGGGAGAAGGAGGGGAAGCAGGGGGAGAAGGAGGGGAAGCAGGGGGGAGAAGGAGGGGAAGCAGGGGGGAGAAGGAGGGGAAGCAGGGGGGAGAAGGAGGGGAAGCAGGGGAGAAGGAGGGTGACAATGGGGAGAAGGAGGGGAATGGAGGAGCTGGGAATGGGGGGGACAGGGATGTGGGAGCAGGGAATGATGGAACGGGGAATGGGGGACGGGGGACGGGGGAGCGAGAATGTGGGAACAGTGAATGGGGTGGGGGGAATTGGGGAACAGGGAATGGGGGAATAGGGAATGGGGGGACAAGATTGGTGGTAAGGGCATCGGGGACAGGAAACTTGGGGGCGGGGAATGGGGGATTAGGAAATGGGGGAGCGGGGAATGGGGGAACATGGGATGGGGGAGTGGGGAATGGGGGTGAGGGAATGGTGGAGCGGGCCCATTCTGTCTTAGGGAATGCACATTGGGAATGGGGGAGCAGGGACTGGGGGAGCAGTGAATGGGGGAGCAGGGAATGAGGGAACGGGGAACGGTGGGACGGGGATTAGGGGAGCAACACATGGGGGAGCAGGAATGGGGGACAGGGAATGTTCGAACGGGGAAGGGGGGAACCGGGAATGGGCCGCGCGTGCTGCCGTCAGACAGTGGCGGGCATCATTCCGTGCGCCTGCTGCCCGTCAGGCAGGGATGTCCCTCATTTCGCGCGGTTGGGTGCTCGTGCCTGTCTGACAGCCGCATTGGGCAGGGCTCGCGAATGCTGGCCGTCGGGCAGTGACGTCTGACAGCCGCTTTCCGCATAGCGCGCGAATGCCGCGCGCATGGCAGACGCATAACGAATTCTGCGCCTATACCTGCGTCCGAGCAGGACGGGCTGCATTTCGCGCATCTGCTGACCGTCTGACGTCTGACGGAGAGCATGTCGCGTATGTGCTGCCTGTGAGACATGTCTAATGCGGTGAGGGCGCGTACCTTGAGGCGCCCGCTGCTGGGGGAGCGGGGAATGGGGGATCACGGAATGGGGCAGCAGGCCATGGGGGAAGGAGGAATGTTCGACATCGTCCACACCCACATAACGCTACCTAGCGGTTTCACTAAGAACGTGACGGCCTGAAACTCATGGGCGTGCAGGCCGTCTGAACCCAAGTCATCAACATGGCGCATTTCGCGGTTACCTGCCATCCGCGGGTTCGCTACCTGCTTAGTCGGCGGTTTCGATTTCGGTGCGCGAGGGTCGGTGGGAAGCGCGACGACTTGCGAGACTCCGAGGTGCGTGGGCAGGCGTGGCTGGCGATCACCCTGACTGGTTTCTAAGCGCTTGTATTCAAGAGCTTAGCTTTCGCGCATGAAGCGTTACGGCCAGGGCGATCGCACCGAGACACGCAGCGCAAGATGCCCACAACGGCGGCGATCGGCGCGATTGCGAAACGCGAGAGGAGTAAGGATCGAAGGGGATGACGGTGGCTGTTGGAATCTCACTTATAAGTGAGACACTCCGGAAACGCGGATATACGCCCTGCCGGGTTTTTCAATCGAGGTGAGATGCACTCAGGGTCGAAATACAGAGTGTCCGCCGAAATGTCTAAAGTGTGTCTAAAATAGGCAGAATCTAGCTAGGCTCGGCCATAGGGCTACGTTCCCGCTAAAGCCGGCCACGGAGCTTCTCTGTTCTCTAAGTTTACGATGGGAACTAGCGGGCACGGAAATGGTCGTGTAACCCATGTCCAGCTTGAAATTCGATTTGACCCAACTTGAATGTCCGCGCAGTCCATTGACGCTCGTGCGCACGTTTGTGACCCTGTTCACACGTAGATTTGTGTCCAGTGTTCCGTGAGTGACTGCATAGCCGGTTTGCGAGCGACGTTTGTCAGTTGCCGCAACCAATTGCAAACCTCTGTTCTCACTTCCTCAATCGCTGGCCAATCATGTTGTTGTCCAAACTTGTTTCTCCCGTCAGTTTTGTCAGACCTAACAGTAAGTTTCCCCCCATTCCCGTGAGTGACCCATGCGGCCATTTCAAGCTGGGCCGGGGGTCACAATTTTGCAGTCTCGTTTTAAATTTGACCAATTGAGAGATGGTTTACCTCTAGTGAGGGAACAAGCAAGATGCGTGAGAATGAAATATGGATTCCCGCTGGACTGAGGATGTCATTGTACTCTCCTTGAACTGGCACCAAATAGTCGCTGGCAATAACCACCTTTTCACATTGGAAGGCTTAAGGCTACGAAAGAGGGAAGCATGAAAGGTCATATGTTTATCACGTCCACTGTCCAGAAATCAAATGCAACGGTCCTGTGTAAAGGCATGGAGACAAGAGGATGATGCAACTGCAAAACTACGTGTAATTGATTAAGTGGAATCTTTCTCATGTGAAGCAAATGGCGTCTGCAATGTGGTGGCTTGAGGAGGTACCTCTGGTGTGAAAGAGAGTTGTGGCACAAGGGAAACATGCACTTGGTTTTGTGATGGGGCTTGAGAAGCATTCTGAAAAGATGTTCCATAATGTGCATTGTCTTGTTGATATCCTGGAGGGGCGTGGGATGTGATCGCAAGGTTAGCCTTTCCTTTGTCAAAAAGCAGAGATAAATGTGGTGTCCAATTCGCATGACGTATGTTGCATTTGAACCAAGGATGGCCCCATGTTTAACAATAATGACACTCAAACTGATATCTTGATTTTGGCTTTTAAGAAATCTGATTGGAGTATGATGCAAGCTGAGAAATGTTTTTAGGTATGTGTTATCCAAGAACAGAGTGTGCTTGGGTAGGAAGAGACTTACTTAGCAATTTATTTTGCTTGTTAAACTCCTTGTTGAGGACGATAGTTGGCGTTTGTCATTCCACTCCAGGCTGGTCCAGGGTCCCTTTGAAGTTTTGCAAGCTCGCTTGACTGGTGCTCAATGATGAGTGTGTTAAAGAGGAGTTCTCTAGTCCCAATCTCTTCAGAAAGTGATTGGATTGTGCTCCTCATTGTGCTCCAAGTAAATGAGGGTTCAGCCAGAAGAATGATGATAAGAGAGATGTCAAACATCATACATGTTATATCTGTGTAGGCTATAGTGGGTTAGCCTATAGGAGGGTCACCATTCTAGGGTTGCATATTTGTACCAAACTCACTGCTAGTTGCCTCATTCCAGTCCGTTTATTCTGACATGGTATCAGAGCAGGTCCATCGCTAGGACCGTTCTTAGGGCCCACCGTTACCTACCTACCTACCTACCTACCTACCTACCTACCTACCGTGCGCCTCTTGCGCCTACGCGCCCTCGTGCGCCCTACCCTACGTGCGCCCTCGTGCGCCTTTCTCTCCTTGTGCGCCTTCGTGCGCCCTCGTGCGCCCTCGAGCTGCCCCTGCAGGTCCGTCAGGCCACCGAGCCGTCGCTGCAGGCCTGTCAGGCACCTGAGCCGCCGCTACAGGCACGTCAGGCACCCGAGTCGCCGCTGCAGGCCCGTCAGGCCCCCGAGCCGCCGCTACAGGCCCGTCAGGCCCGAGAGCCGCCCCTGCAGACCCGTCAGGCCCGCGCGCAGCCTCTGCCCGACCGCGCGCCGCCCCTGCAGGCCCTAGCCGGCCGCCGCGTCGCTCTGCCCGCAGCGTCGCCGCCTCTCCGCGGCGTCGTCGCCTGCCCGCGTCGAAGCCGCCTGCCCGCGACGTCGATCCCTGCCCGCGGCGCCGTCGCCTGCCCGCGGAGACGTCGCCTGCCCGCGGCGTCGTCGCGGCGTCGCCACCTGCCCGCGGAGTCGTCGCCTGCCCGCGCCGTCGCCACATGCACGCGGCGTCGCCACCTCCTCGCCGCGTCGACCTGCCCGCGGCGTCGCCACCTGCCCGCCGCGTCGACCTGCCCGCGCCGTCGCCACCTAACCCTAATCCGTCGCCCTGCCCGCGGCGTCGCCACCTGCCCGCCGCGTCGCCCTGCCCGCGCCGTCGCCACCTAACCCTAATCCGCCTCTCGCCCCTGGAGCAGCCGCCACTGCAGTAGCAGCCCCTGGAGCCGCCGCCACTGCAGCAGCAGCCCCTGCAGCCGCCCGCCACTGCGGCAGCAGCCACTGGAGCCGCCCGCCACTGCAGCAGCCGCCCCTGGAGCCGCCCGCACCTGCAGCAGCCGCCCCTGGAGCAACTGCCGTCGTAGCCCGGTCTAGCTCTGCAGCAGCTGCCGCGGAGCTTCCTACTGCGCCTGCCACGCCGACCACTGGTGAGCATTGCCCTGCCAGCACTGCTACCGCTGCTACTGCTACTACTGCCGTTTCTACTCCCACTCCCGCTACTCCTGCTGCTCCTGACGTGGCCAGATGCAGCCACAGGACCGTGCGCGTGAGTCCCTCACGCTCCAGCAGGCTCGTGAGTGGTACGCCAGTTGGGGCTATCGAGGTGGCCGTAGTGGTAGTCGCTCTGACGTGCGTCGTTCGGGAGCCCCTGGTAGTGGACAGGTGCAGCAGCCGTGCCCTCCTACGGTCCAGCAGGCTCGTGAGTGGTACGCCAGTTGGGGCTATCGGGGTGGCAGTCGTGGTAGTCGCTCTGACGTGCGTCGTTCGGGAGCCTCTGGTAGTGGACAGGTGCAGCAGCCGTACTCTCCTACGGTCCAGCAGGCTCGTGAGTGGTACGCCGGTTTGGGCAGTCGGGGTGGCCGGCGTGGTAGTCGCTCTGGCGTGCGTCGTTCGGGAGCCCCTGGTAGTGGACAGGTGCAGCAGCCGTGCCCTCTTCTGGTCCAGCAGGCTCGTGAGTGGTACGCCGGTTTGAGCAGTCGGGGTGGCCGTAGTGGTAGTCGCTCTGGCGTCCGTCGTTCGGGAGGCTCCGGTAGTGGACAGGTGCAGCAGCCGTGCCCTCTTCTGCTCCAGCAGGCTCGTGAGTGGTACGCCGGTTTGAGCAGTCGGGGTGGCCGTAGTGGTAGTCGCTCTGTGAGTGAGGCAGCCGCTCTCGGTGCCAGTACGTCTGTTGCCCTCGGAGCAGGTGAGGCTACCACTCCCGGTACTCGCGTGTCTGCTACTCCAGGTGCTGGTGAGCCTACTGCTCTAGGTGCTAGTGCGTCTGCCGCTCCAGGTGCTCGCGTGTCTGCTACCCCAGGTGATGGTGAGGCTGCTGCCCTAGGTGCTAGTGCGTCTGTGCCCCCTGGTACTGAGTCGACTGCAGCACTGCACACCTTCACACTGGACTCAGGTGCTTCTCGCTCTTTCTTTCGTGACCGCACTGTCCTTGAGCCACTCGCTCGGCCAGTTGCTGTCTCCCTTGCTGACCCCTCTGGGGGTCCGGTCTTTGCGACCTCCTCCACTGTCCTTCCTTGTCCTGCGGTCCCGTCCGGCACGCTGTCAGGTCTCTACCTCCCCTCGTTCTCTACGAACTTGGTGGCAGGCCGAGAGCTCCAGGACGGGGGTGTTCACCAGTTCACCCCTGCCTACGAGCGCGTGACGCACTGCACGTGTGCTCGGACGGGTCGCCACCTGGCTACCTTCACTCGAGAGCCGGGGTCGGACCTGTACACACTGACCACTGAGTCCCCTCAGGTAGCTGCGTCTACGTCTGCGTCAGGTCAGCTGTCCGCCCCCTGCTCGTGTCGCTCTCTGGCGCATGAGACTGTCCTTTGGCACCACCGCCTTGGTCACCCGTCTGTGCAGCGCCTTCGGGCCATGCACAAACGGGACCTTGTTGCTGGTCTTCCCAGGGTACTCCCTCCCCTTCCAGACTCGCCTGCTCCTACATGTATTCCCGTGTCGAGGGGCGGCAGCGCGCCGCTCCTCACTCCTCCTCCTTCCCCCCGACGACTGCTCCCTTGCAGACGCTCCACATGGACGTGTGGGGCCCAGCCCGCGTCCGTGGTCAGGGTCAGGAGAGGTACTTCCTGATTGTTGTTGACGACTTCTCGCGCTACACCACGGTCTTCCCTTGCGCGCCAAGG